ATATATAAACGTATGTATGTGGGTGGGTGTGTCTACAGGAATCCCAGAAATAAAACTCTCTAATCTTCCGGGCTCGGTGATTTAGCAGCAAGAAAAACGAAATGGCGAATCCAATTCCAAGAGGGACCGTGCTTGGTCACCCGCCCGGGAATGCTTCTGCCGGAGTCTCGCCCTCCGGACCCAAAGTGCTCTGCGCAGAGTCTCCTCTTCCTTCATTTCAGGTTTCTGGTCTAAGGACTGTTCTGTCGATGGTGACGGTGGTGTGGTGGCGGCAGCGTGGCTTCTGTGTCGGTCTTTCCTGGTGAGAGGTCTGGTTCCCGAAACCCTGAGGGAGGCTCCTTCCTCCGGCCCGGCTCACCGCCTCGGCTTGTCACATCTGAGGGAGAGGGAAGACCAGGGCTGCGGTTAGGGCCAAGTGAGAAGGCCGCGCCATGAGGCAGGCGGCCGCCCCACGAGAGCAGCGAGGCCAGGGGAGGCGCCGTCCTGCGACAGAAAGCCACGGCGCATGCGCAGGGGCTCCCCGTCCGCCCTCTAGAGCTTACCATCTACCGGAGACAAGACAGAGACGTGGGAACACTTTACAGAGCGACAAACGAACGAGCACCAAAGAACAGTCGCTACTTGACATTCTAAGAGCAGATGGGTGAGCAGAGTTGGACGGAGTGAACCGGAAGAGGCCCGTGCGGAGGAGGTCGTGCGGCTCCGCAGGAGCCGAAGAGGAAGGGCAGGAAGAGAACGGGCAGGGCCTCCGGGAGGGCGCCCTGCGCCGGGGAACACGGGCAGCGCAGGGGAGGGCCTGCCCTGGGGTGTGAGGCTCCCGAGACAGTGCAGCCAGAGGGGCCTGGGCCCTGGGAAGGTGACGAACGCGCCCACCTCCCGGCCTTGACTGTGGGCTTCATCTCCCTCGACCGGGCTGGCAGCCGCGGGCCCGGGTCCTCGGCTGCCTTTCCTTTCTAATATGCTGTTTAACTTGGGGTGGGAGAGACGATCGGATGGTTTCACTATTCCCGTTGAAGCAAAGGGCACCTCCCAGAACTGTCTCAGCACGCCCCTGCCCCTGGGCTGACTGTCTTTTATCCTCCACACCATGACGAGGAGACAGAAAAGGCCTGGCCCTTCCTGACAGCCTGGGAATGGGGGTCCTAAGCCTCCGAGTTTGGACACTAAAATTCCAAGATACGGCCGGGTTGGGGGTGAGACACGGTCTTTGGAGGTCAAAGTAACTTCAGTTAGGTCCCAGGTCGCTTCACACCCCACTGCCATCCCAGACAGTCTCTCTGCAGAACTATCACCACAGAAACCCTAAAATGGCAAGTCTCTTAGCATCCCCAAGGCCCCCTGGGGAATTGAGACCCCTCATCCAGCCCTGGAGTTAGGCAGAGACTCCACTCCTCAACACCGACACACACTTCCTGTCTTCGCACAGTGCCGAGACAGACAGACCCCCACATCAGCAACTCAGGGCCTGGTTCCAGTGTCCCCTGAGCACTCACAAGCCACAAGAACATTGGCGGGGGCCGGCGGGACACTCCAAGAACTTTGTTAGTGGAGCGTCTACTAACTGGGAGGTACCTAGGCCCTCCCCGAGGCATCCCCACAAAAGCCCCTCCTCCCTGGGTGGGCTTCGCCCTGGTCCAGCAGGCCCCTCACTTTGAGCACAGGTCAGCGGTATAAAGAATGCCGGTGGAGGCATCCAAAGATGGCCTGCCATGTGTCACGGCCCTGTGCTCCCCTGAACTCAGTCGTGTATTCCCTCATGCACTTGACACTTCCTTGGTCTCCACACGGACAAGGGACAGAGGTACAGATGCCTGGGGATCACAAGGTAAATGGAGGTTAGAGCCCAGGTTTGAGGAATTCACAACCTAATGTTAGGAGGGTGAGCTCGGCCTCCTCCCTCCACCCATCCTGGGGGGATCTGGAAATGTGCGGACTACTTCAGGTTGTCACTCTGACTGGTGGAGGATTAAAGGTATCTAGTGTTCTCAGATGCTATGTCTCCCTCAATGTGCAGGATTAATTACCCTGTCCCAAACCAACAGTCAGAGCCCTCTCCCTCAGGGAGCCCCAGTCTGACAGGGGAGACTTATCCCTGTCCTCAGGGAGCCCCAGTCTGAGGGAGGAGACATGGCCCTGTCCTCAGGGAGCCCCAGTCTGAGCGGGGAGACTCATCCCTGCCCCCATGAAGAAACCCTGAGGGGATGAGAAGTCTCTGAAGTACCGACTCCAGAGAGCAGTGGCAAGGCCCTCTGAGAATGCTGCGCTCTGTAGACATTGTTCCACACCCAGAAGGGCTCTCAGTTCTCTGCGTGATACCAGAGGTAGTAACAACATCAGGACCAACAGCCACTACGAGCAGCAGGACCACAGGACACAACACACAGCTTGCGTCCACACCACCACATTAAGCCACACCAGCCTACCCACTCAGGCAACCAGAGCAACCTCTGAACAGGCCCCACCAGGCTGGACCAGCGCCCACGGCCCACCTCAGGGGCCTTACAAGCAAAGAAAGTAGCAGTCACCAGGCAGGCAGCTAGAAGCCAAGCAAGCAGCTGGCCCCTCTCAGGCGTGCGCGCTCGCTCGCTCGCTCGCTCTCTCTCTCGCTCTCTCTCTCTCTTTCTCTCTCTCTCTCTTTCTCTCTCTCTCCATCTCTGTGTGATGCCCCTCTCTGACTCGCTCGCCCTCTGGGAACCAACCTGCAAGTACGTTCGTTTAACTCAAGCTGCCTCGCCTTGCAACGCGAGTCTGTGTTTTTGCAGGAACATTTACACGTCTGCGGATCTTGTACAAACAAATGCTTTCTCCGCTCTGAGCAAGGCCCACAGGGACTGCAAAAAGGCAAAAGGAAAGACATCTAAGCTAGAGCATCAGCAGAGAGAGAGAAAAAAACACCCATGCAACACCCCCTAACACATCCACAGCTGCATCCCCACCCGGCTCGTCAGCCCCCAGGTCCTTCCAAGCCCTGGAAGGGTCAAAGCACTACAGCAGAAGACAGTGGCGGAAAGAGGCAGCACTGGCTAGACGCCTGCCCACAGGAAGAGGCAGGCACGGACAGGCAGAGAGTGCAGGAAGAGGCTGCCATAAGGGGCAGTGCTGTGTCCCAAGGAGACAAGGATGAGTCTCAGGCCGCAGGGCCCCAACGGCTGCTGCCCCCAAATGAGCACACCTTGACTCTTCACCTGCTGGGGACAACATCTGGGGGCTGCTGAGATCACCAGGGGCCACCTCCTCCCTGTGCAAGGGCTCATGCCCAGACCTTCACCAAAGGTAGGCTAGCATAGGGTGTGACGGTAGACTAAGCCCAGAGGCAGTGTCCACAGGCCAGGCCACCGGTGGCCAAATTGCTCAGGGCAGCCACAGCCTCCGCAACCCAGAAGAAGAGGCCACCCTAGAGGGAGGCTTCTATGCGTGCCCTGGTTGAGCTGCAATAAGGCGTTCCTCTCCAGAGACCCAAGTCCACAAGGAGCCAAGGCACTTCCACGAGATGAAGAGGGCCCGTTACACGGTGCTTGACCGCACCCAAGCTCCTCCTTCAGCTGACAACAAGCTGCCTCCAGTCATTCATAGCCCTTCCTTGTGCCATGCCTGCCCTCCCCACCACCCTCAGCTTCCAGACAAGTGTAGAAGCCTAGAACAGTGGAAACCAGTTGGGTGAGCAAGCACCACTGCTTGGCACCCATGCCAACATGGGCCCGCCACCAGTGCCCAGTGGGTGAGAGAAAGTCGGTGCCCAGCCAAGCCAGAGTCCCCTCCCTGCATCCTCCAGGCCCACTAGGGCCCCCCACCCAACCTCAACCCTGGACCAGCAACACCACCACCAAATGTACCCATTGGTGCCAATTAGTGGAGGAGAGTGAGAGAGAGACACGGGCCAGAAGGGAAGGAGAGAGCCAGGAGGGGTCGAGGGAGGGCGGCAGCGTTATGGGGTACTGCAGGCAGCACTTTGATATGGGGCCAGGGAGGCTCCGGGGAGTTAGGCAGCAGCGGGCACCAACGTACACGCTCCAGGATTTATACCGGGATTTCTTGCGCTTTCGTTTTTGCCCCTTTCCCTTTCCTCGAACTGATTTTCTGGAAAATAAAAAAACAGAGACAGACAGAGAGAGAACGAGGGAGGGGGAAGGGGACAGCGAAAGAAGCAGTGAGGAGGGCAGGGGTGCGAACAGAGCCGCGCAGGGGCCCGCTCCCTGCAGCGCGGTGTGGAGGGAGACGGCTGGTCTCTGGGACGGCGGGCACACGGCCGCACAGGTGAGCCTGGCAGCACGTGCCTGGCGGCTCCTTCTCCTCACTGCGCCCATCCTGGGGTGGCAAACTCAGCCCTTGGCCAAGCTTTCAGTGGGAAGCAGAGACTGGGTGCAGGACACAGGGCCTCCATGCTCACAGCAGCTCCTGGTCCCAGGCAGGGGGCAAAGCCCTGAGGGCAGGCTCTTTGCCCAGCAATTCTGTACAAGTCTGACCTTGAAGGTCAGGGGCGATAAAAAGTAGGCCAGACTTTGGGGAAAAGGTCAGAGATCTGACTTGATGGGGGATGGGGGGTGGTGTGCTTTAGGCACCTTCTGCCTTCATTTCCAAGTACGGTAACGAGGGGTCCTTCAAGGCCCTGCCTCTAGGAATCCCAGTGCGGGGCAGCAGCTACCGTGAGATCTGACACAAAACCAAGAGTAGCACATGGAAGGTGCCAGCCCACCCAGCCATCACCTGGACTGAGAGGCAGGGCTGGGTGTCCTGGAGCCCCAGGCAGGCAGTAGGGTGGGGTGGGAGTGAGGGAGGGCTGGAGAGGGGGCGCCTGGGCGGTGATTGGCCTGTCAAAGCCTGCTACAACCATCTCACCAGACTCTCTTCCAAGCCCAGGCGAGCCCCCCGCTCTCCCCATGGGCAAAGCAGGCATTCAGGGAAACAGGCAAGGGGGGCAGGCTGTAGCCTGTCCCCCTCAAGGGAACCAGCACTTTCCATGCCTGCCAGGCCCAAGAGAACACACCTCGGAATGTCAGTCACAGGGAAGAAAGGAAGAGAAGGGACCAGAGAGGACAAGTCTGCTCCTCCCCAGGAGAAGGCACCGAAGGATGGAAGGAGCAGGGTCTTCGCATACCCACACTCTGGAAGCTGGGGGCTTAGGGAAGAGGCGAGGGGTTGAGGCCTAGGGGACTTCAATGTCCCCAGGGCAGTGGGGGCAGGCAGGATGGGAGGGTAGGACACAGGTGCTCTCTCTCAGTCTCTTTCCCTGTAGGCCTGTCCCCAGTGCCAGCTGCTCACTCTGTCTTGGAAGGCTTGCTGCCCCCAGACCTTGCCCCTCACCCCATCCTGCCCCAACCCTCCATGCTGAGCACCTGGAAGCCTCGGAAAATGGCCGATATTCAACTTTTTCTCCCTGGCCCAGAGGGCAGTGTGTCTGCTGCCTGCCCTACTCCTCCTGAGGGGCACGCACCAAGAAAACCCTCAGCCGGCCCCAAATCCAACAGCAGCACCACGGCCATCGAAAGAGGCCGTTTCCTCTGATGCACAAAAGCTGGCCTCTCTGCCACCCACCTCCTTTCCCAACCATGGGTGCCCTGGAGCAAGCCAGGGAGCCAGTGTCCACACTGCTCCCTGACACAACCAAACAGCAAGTCCTGGTTGGGAATGATCTGGAGACCAGGGAAGCACTGCTTCTTCCAAAGGAACTGCGAAGCTCCCGGCTAGGTTTTCTCGCTAACCCTCAAGCCAGAATCCTGGAGTTGGCTCCATTCCACGACTGCTGCCACAAGTTCTCCACAAGACCAACTCCCTGACCTGGTGAGTCCATCCGATCCCCCAACAGAGGAAGCCAAGAGCCCCAAACCAAGACAACCAGCCAAGGAGAGAAAGAAGTGCTAAAGTCAGGGCCACTTACTTTTCTTGCTTTGCTCTATCTTTCTTTGGTCTGCAATGGGTAGGGAGAGAGAAGAGAAAAAAACAGAGTTAAAATGGTGATGATAATGCTAGGGATAATAATAGTAGGAAAAACTCAACATAGTATTTATGATGTAGCAATACTGTTTTAATGCCTTTATAAACAATAACTCACTTAATCCTTATAACAATGCTATGAAATACATACTAATATTGTGCCCATTTTACAGATGTGGAAACTGAGGCACATTGCTATAAAATGCCCAGGGCCACAGAGTTGGAAGGTGGACATGGGCTAACAAGGGGCAACATGCTTTGCCCTGGCACAGCTCAGGGCCTGCAGCCGTTTGCTGACTAAATCCGTGACTCCAGTCTCACCTGCATTCACATTTCTTATGCTGTAGGAAGCTCATCTCTCCTATGTGCTGGCCTTGGTGAGGTTTGATCCGCATAATCTGCAGGGGAAGGAAGCAGATCAGAGGTTAGTGACCCAGCCAGCCATACCCAGATGGGACACCCCAGGGGCTCCTGCCACTCGGCACCCAGGGGTTCTACAGAGCAGGGGTGTGGTGGAGGTGGAGTGGACCAGAAGCTCTAGCAGGAAAGAGCCTTGGGACCACCCCAATTCCCCCAACCCTGCTGGCCTCAAGGAGTCCCTGCTCCACTTGAGGGCAGACATGGCTGCAAGGGTTGGCCAGGCTGGGAATTCAAATCCTGGGTTCTTACCACTCCCCATCCCCTCCCCTTCTTTCATCCCTTCTAGACCTCAACCTGATCCCTAGTAGCTACCAGACAGCCACCCCTTCCCTGTGTCTCACAGCTCCCTCTGCCCTGAGATGTGCCCTGAGGCTGAGATGGGCCCCATCACCAGGTAGCACCAAAAGACGGGCTTTTTCTCATCCAGCTTCCCAAGCAGACCTCCCATGGAGGGAGAGCCCTCAGAGCTCTCTCCAAGAGAGGAGAGGGGCTCACGGACACCAGCCCCCTCCTGAGCCCGGGAGGCAAAGGTCAAGGATGAAGAGCAGGTGGTAAGGGCTTGCTGGGAACCTCAGCGTCCCAGGAAATGCAAACATCTTCTCCATAGAAGGCAAGACCCCACCATACCTCGTCCTGTCCGACTCAGAGGCAGAAGCCGGACAAGGCAAGTCTAGCTCCTCCTTGAAAGAGCTTCACAGGAAATGGCCCAGGACCACTGGTTCCCACAGTCTATGCCCCTCCCTATTCCCCTCTGCCCCCACTCCCCACAGTGCCCACCTGCATGGTGATGTTGTACTCCTCGGTGGGCACACACTCCAGGCCCTCATCATTGCAGCAACCCCCACATCGTGTCACGGGTACACAGGACGGCTTGAAGATGAACTCGATCTCTTCCGGGTATTCCTGGAAGATGTCCACCAGGATCTCAAGTGGATGGCAGTAGCTGCGCTGGTAGACGTCCATGAACTTCACCACTGCATGGGAGGGGGTGACATATGAGCCCAGTGGGGAATACAAAAGATAGCTGGCTGGCCCCTATCTCTACCCAGCTCTGTAAAGCCACTCCTCAGGGCTTCCGTGAGAAGTACCCACTATCAGGCAAGTCCTTCTAAAAATCTAACTTAAGTCCCTCCTGCTGTGTTGGAAGCACTTCCCTAAGCTTTCCAACATCAACACTGAGGAAGGTCTGTTTTTATTCCAAAGATTACATGATGCTGTCAAGTTCCAAGGGAGATGGGCTCCAATATCTGATCCCTCAGCCTCACTGTGACAGCTGAGCCAATTCCTGGGTCAACGTTGATGCCAGAGGATAGTCTGAGCATGGGTACACATGTTGAGGGTGCTCTAAGCTTCCCCTGAAAGGAGGAACAGCCAGCTTTGCCAAGCTGGTCTCCATTTTCCTGCAACCTCCCCACAGCCAGCCGTAACATCAACCATACCAACATTTATTGAGCATTTACTACATGCTGGCACTGTGTACAGTAGTCCCTAGTTATCATCTCACACAATATTCCCCACACAGTACTATTATATACTAACATTTTGCAGATGGGCAACTGGAGGCTCAGAGAGGCTAAGTGACTTGCCCCAAGGCCACACAGCTAGTAAGTGGTAGAGTTAGAATTAGCTCTGACACCAAAGCCTTCCCAAACCTATGTCATACAAGAACAGAGAAGCTTCAGGAGGCACCTTGCCACCTGCCAGCCTTCCTCCCCAGACATGGGCTGAGGAGGTGGTGGGCATAAGCACAGGGGCTGGGTCCGCCAGGAACCAGCAGGTGGCAGTGGGCGGGCACGTTTTGCCGGCCCTGCCAGCCTCCGATAACCCCGCCCAAGAGGGCAAACTGCTTGCATCATGGAAAAAACAGTGCTGCCACTGCAGCCACAAAGCATTTCTAGAAGCTGATCTGGAGGGAGACCAGGGTAAAGACAGTTTCCCAGGCTGGCCGTGAAGCCTGGGGTGCATCGGAGCATGAAGGGGTAATTCTGGGCCACAGAGGCGGGGCCCTTGAGAATAAATAAATGCAGGACTCCGGTGTGACTCCTTCAAATCGTGGCCCAGCCTGCCACTCCCCATCATACCCCGCTACCACCACATAGCAATCCTGTCCCTGAAATAGGTTCCCCTACACAGAGGGAAGAAATCACACTCAGCCAGTGAGGAGGCCCAGGCTCTGGCCATAACTCAGTGTGACCTTGGGTCAGTCCCTCCCCTCTCCAGGCCTCCGACTCTTCATCTGTGTAAGTGGGCTGGGCTCATTTCTAAGGACACTGAAACGGAGGCTGAAATGTGGGGTTTTGTCTTCCATTTCCAGTCCTGAGAACAAGTGCCCTTTTCTCAGCCTGAGTAACACAAAGTTTGGAACTTCACCAGCATATCTTAAGCGTATGCCCTGTAGACCGTAGCTGAGCCTCCCCATCGCTCCTCCCCCCACACTTTGTTTCCAGAAGGGTAAAGGAAGACAAGTCAGGGTATGTATACAATAGGTTGGGGGGGAGAAGGCCACAGGTGTGACAACATAAAGAACAGTTGGGGAAGCCAGGCCAGTCCCTCACCTTCCCCAAGGTCTCCACTTCTAACCAAACGACAGACGGGGACAGAATCCTTCTCTAACTCCAGAAGGTAAAGGTAAAACATTGTCAGAAAGAGTAATGAGACCAGGAAGTCTGAAAAAAAATCAATTTTTAAGGCAGGTCTACAATGAAGATGACTAATCAAGAATTTTTGAACTGACCCTTCATCACGTTGGGACTGAGGTGGCCCAAGCTTGTGGCCCCACCCAGGAGGGGATAGCAGAAAGGTCTGTCCTGGGCAAGGAGTTGGTAGCTGAGGGTAAAAAGACCTGGGTTGGGAATTTCTTTGAAAAACTTGCCCCTGGAATCCGCAAGGCCTGTGGGAGGGAGAGGGGGGCAGCTTTGCTGGCACCCCTCCTGTCCCAGCCACTGCCTCCGAGGAGAGCTGGCCTCCTGTTGCACAAGGAGTACACACACATACACTCCAACATCAGGCTTTCGTGGTTTTCCTTATTTATCGCCGACAACCTTTTCTCCAGCAAACAAAGACCATTTGTCTTGCCTCTCCCAGACCACAGAGACCACTGGGAGGCCTAAGGGGGTGGGTGGCACACTGGGAGCAAGGGGCCTGTCAGTGGCTGGAAAGCCAGGCCCTGGGCCAAGGAAAGAGCTCCTGGGGTGGGGAAGGAGGAGGCAGAACCGGCTGGGCATCACTACCCCTGGCTGCTACCCGCCATGGCCACACATGGGATTTAGGTCAAGGAAACTCGCCTGGAGGAAGACCCCAAGGCCTTCCCTCCTCAGAGGTGGAGAGCTGGGGGAGTGGCAACCCACTGGAGCACAGGCCACATTCAGCGGTGGGGAGAGCCAGAGCGTCCCCAGAGAAATGGGAGGATCTCTGCTCCAAACCACAGCGGAACAAAAGGCAGGCAGACTCCGGGTTGGGCAGGGGGCGGGGCGCCTGGGAGCTACAACCAGCCCTCTGCTGGCCTGGGAGGGAAGTTCACAGCACGCGAACCAAGTCCACTCGGGCTTTCTCCACCCCCAAAGGAATACAAACTGAGACAGGGAGGGGAGATCCCATTAGGCTGGGCCCTCTGCACCTCCAGCTCACACAGGAAGGGTCACAGCCCCCACAGGTGGGATATGGCTATGTAGGAATTCACACTGAACATCCATCCTCCCCAATAGCAGGGGTGGACGAGGGACGCCTCCGCCAACATCTGCGATCCCTGAACACTGTCCTCCTGCTCTGTGCTCAAGGCTCCCCCTCCCAATAAAATTTTACTGAAAAGAGCAGAAGAAAAAGACAAGTTCTCTTTCTAGCAGAGACCCAAATAGAGGAGGGAGTCATCAAGAAACTGAAAGGTTAACCAAATGGTACCCACCTCTTTCTTGGTCTTCACCCTCCCCCCTCCCCACAGGTGTGGAAGAGGAATAGGGCCTCCCACCCATCCCGAGGGGACAGGGCCCCCCCATCCAAAAACCAGGGGGACTCACCTTCACTATGGGTAGTGCGCTCTCCTTCTGTCGTGGGTGCAGCCTGGGACCACTGAGGACAGAACAAAGAGCGAGGTGTGGGCAGGGGCAGGGGCACAAAGGCCCAGCCACCCAGCCCCTCCTCCCTCCTTGCTTCCCTCCCAGCCCACAGCCTCTGGCTTCTCCAAGGCTTCTGAGTTCCGAAGAGGGCACAGCCAGGAGTCCCCACGGGCACAGAGCATGCCCACCACTCCTGGACCACTCCAATTCTGAACCCAAGGAAGTTAAAGACTAACCAGATGTTGGGGGGTGGAGGCTCAAAATGCAGGAGGAAAACGCCAGAATGCTGCACTGTCCAGGTCCCCTGTCCCTTCCCCATGTTTCCCACCCCTTGCTCTCACTGCCCCCTTGATTTCCTGGTCCAAAGCCATGGGTAAGTATTAAGGTCAAATAGGAGGACAAATTTGGACTGGGGCAGGAAGGAAGGACTGGGGGCGAGAAAAACAACATGGTGACCTTCTCCTGCTGACATGACAAATACCAGGGTGAGGTGGTGTTGGAGAGGGAGGGGGTGCAGAGGACCAAAGGGTGCCAACCACCCTCCCCCATCCAAACTCTCCCAGTCCTCAGGAATATCCAGCATACCCACAGGTTGCCGAGGGGGGAAAAACACAGGAGGAAACCCTGGGGCAGGAGAGAGCCCCATTTCCCTCCCTGCACAAATCTCCCCAGAGCCTGAATAGATTTTCAGAGCCTCACCAGCTTCCCACACCCACCTTTTTCCCTGGTTTCTTCTCCCTTCCAGAATGAGGGGGTCCCAAGCTCCTCTCACCTGGGCACCTTAAATGCCACCAGAGAAGCTCTTTATGCCTTAGCAATGCCCAGCCCCTAGGGGGCCCCCTGCACTACCCTAGGCCTGAAACCTCCCATAACCCTCCCTACCCCCACAGATCATTCCTCCCCTCCCCAGAAGCCGTGAAGGTCAGCACACGCAGCCATGTGGACCTGACAGCACCAAGCTGGCAAAGCTTCTCCTAGCCTGTCCTCAGGGTTTCTGGTTCCCACATACTCCCCACCCCACCCACTCCTCTTGCGGAGCCCACAGAACCCCAGGACCCTCTGGGAGGGAGTCCCACTGTCTCTCTCTCTCTCCTTCCTACACACCCAAAATGCACCCCAACCAGGTCCTCCAGCCTTGCCCCCAGAGACAAGGTCAGAGGAAGCCCCTCTTAAGGGAAGACAACAGATCCCAGGCTCCCAGCTGGATAGCCTCCGGCTGCAGGTCCCCGAGGGACCCCCTGGTTCTGCACCTCAGCCCCTCACCCATTCCCACAACACCCCCCCCGCCCCGATTTCCCCCTGCCAACATTCTCCCTGCACCCTCCAATCCTCCTGGGCCCCAACGAGAAAAGGGGACAGAAACTTCATATCCCTTCCAAGGCCAGGGGGCACTGGAGGGGTGGTTCTAGGCAGGGAGGGGCCAGGTGCCCTTCTCTGGGGGCCTCTGAAGGTCACACTGTGGCCAGGCAGCCACTCCTCCCCCTCCTCCCTACTTGGAGGCCTGAAGCCAAGGCCTTTGTGCCAGGGTCTGAGGAACTCCTGGTGGTAGCAGGGACCCCTGTGTCCGTGTCCTTCCTTCTATCTCCTCTCCAAAGGGGACTCTAGCTGAGGGAAGGTGTACGGGGGAGCAGAAAAGGACCCTTTAGGTGGCTTTAAGAAGCAAGTTGAGTGGGCAAGTTTGGAGTTCCAAAAACCACCTGCTCCAATGCCCCATTTCACCAGGAAGAAGTGTGTGTGCGAGGCTGGCAGGAGCTCCTTCCAAAGGTTCGGGAAGGGTTATTCCCATACTGCCCATGTCAAAACAAATTTCAACCCATTTCTCCCAAAGGGTAAAGTGAGCTAACGACACTTTTTAAACCCTGCCTTCACCCACCCCCATAAAAGCCACAGCACAGCTCAGTGGGAACTCTTAGGGAGGGGAGGGAAGCACACTGTCACCAAGTCGGGACTTTGGGTAGTCTCCACAAAGCACGAGGGTGGGCCCCGACTTCTGACAGCGATCATCCCTTCTCTAGACTCTGGGGCTGGGGAGGGGTTAGACAGATCTTCTCAGCAGAGGAGTAAAAAATAAAGGGGTAGCAGGGGCTTCTCTCCATGCTGGGGAAGAAACGGGGAAAGGGAAGGGGGGTCAGGAAATTCCTCCTAGCACAGAGCAAGGGTAAGGGCCCGGGACGGTGGGAAGGGGTAGGGATGGTTCTCCGCCCGGTCCCCGGGCTGGGGCTACCTCGAGAGGTCACCTTCCCGCGGAGGGCCGGCGGGGGGAGGGGCGCCGCTCGTAGCACTGGGCTCTGGGCTCCCGCAGCCGCGGCTCCGGGAACACGCGGCCGGCCAGGCCCGAGCTGATGTAATCGGCTCCGCGCCGCGCGCGCCCGGCCGGGCGGGGGAGGGCGGGCACCGAGCGGGACGCGAGCGGGGACGGGCGGGGGTGGTGCGGCGCAGGTGGCCCGGCAAGGAGGGGGGTCCCCGCAGCGATCCACCCCAAAACTTTTCCCAAACTCGCCGCTAAGGCCGAAGAGACCGAGTGGCAGTGACAGCAAGCCCCATCTCTTGCCTGCGCCCTGCCCCCCTCCATGCTCTCCGCCCTCCCTTGGTCCAAGGTCCGAGCACCCCGCTGCCCGCGGGGCTCTGGCTCCCGCCCCCGCTGCCCCGACTTCCAGTTCGTTGGGGACCAGCGACCGGGAGCAAACTTCAGCCTCCAGCCGCAGCGCAAGCCCAGCCCCCTCGGCCTCCTCCTCCGGCTCCCGCCCTCCGCTGGTCGGCCCAGATCGTACGTGCGGTGACTCTGGTGGGTGGGCAGGGCCCGCGTGGGCGGTGAGACTCTATCCTGGTGCCCTCCCACCTAGCGCGCGCCCCCTCCCCCTACACGTACGACGACAGAGGGGGATGCAGCGCGCCTGGTGCCCCTGGACCCGCGTGGGGCACGGAGCCCCCACGCGCGCGCTCGCACGCACGTCCCCAGCCGGGAGAGGCGCTCGCAGCGGCCCGCGGCCCCAGGCGGGCACGGCCGCTTACCTTGGCATGGTGGAAGTAGAGCAGCAAGGCAAGGCTCCAATGCACCCAAGAGAGGAAAAAGTTCATGGTTTCGGAGGCCGGACTCGGGCCGGCGCGGCTTGCGCTCCCTCTCCGGCTGGGGCTGCGGGACGGCCCGCTCTCCTCGGAGCGTTGGCGGGCTCCTCTTCCTCCAGGAGCCGAGGCCCGGGCCAGGGCCTGGGGCGCGCGCGCGGCTGAAGCACTGTCTGCGCACACCGCCGCCTCACCGGTCCATGAGCCCGGCTTCCGAGCGCCGAGTCGCCACCGCGGGCCCCTCTCCTCTTCCTTCTCTTCTTCCTCCTCCCCCTCCTCCGGCTGCGGTTCCTCCCGGCCCGAGCTAGCACTTCTCTCCGCTCCGCTCAGCTCGGCTCCCCTGGCGCGGACCACGTCTGCTCCGGAGCGAGAACAGCCCAGAAGTTGGACGAAAAGTTTCAGCGCAACGCCGCGAGCCCCGATCCCCTCCACGCCGCCTCCGGGCGCGGGCTCCGGCTCCTGCCCGCGGCTCGCTGCCGCGTCCACCGTCGGCCGCCGGCCGGGGAGGAGGTGGGCGCTGGGGCTGGGGGCGGTGTCTGTCTGTCTGTCCGTCAGCGCCGCTGGTCGCTTGCGGGATCCCGAGGGGGAGGGCTCACGCTGCGCTCCGACGGTCACCCCCAAAAGCAGGTCACTCACTTTGCCCCGTCCCCCTGGCTGCTCGTTCTCCCGTGCGCTCTCTCTGACCCCGTCTCTCTCTCTCTTCCTCGACTTCTCTCAGGAGCTCTTGCTACCTCTTTCCTCTCTGCTGGTTTCCAAAATCCAAAGTGATCTGGGGGAGTAAAGAAGCAATCTTCCCCAAACGGTCGGCCCGATTTAAGTGGAGAATAGGAAGCAAAAATAAATTAAAAAGGGAAGCAATACAGTTTTTAAAAAATGTTTAAGAAAAAAGGAGGGGAATAAACCCCCGATAAATGAATATCAAATTCCAGCGCGAGACCCGTGGCGGGTGAGTCCGCTGGCGGGTCCGCCTCGCCGCTGCGTCTCGCGACAGAGCGCCGCTGCCGCCGGCTCCGCTTGCCCCTGCGCCGCGGCCTCCGCACAGCCCGGCTGCCCCACGGCTCGGCGATCTCCACCGACACCAGCCGACTAAAAAAAAAAAAAGGCCTGGCCCCGCCCCGCCAGGACCCCGCCCCGGCCCGCCCTCCTGGGCGGGGCCAGGGGCCGAGCCTCTGCCCCTCGCCTCCGGCCCTGTGCGGGCGATCCGGGTTGCGGGCTCTGCCTTCGCCTGGGGGCACCCGGGGAGGCCTGAGCCCCCAGCGCACCACAACGGAGGGAAAGCTCGACCCCCATCAAAGTCCACAGCCTGAAAATTACCCATCGCCCCCTGAAACTCTGCCCGGAGACACATTCGCCCGCGGGGTATTGAGGGAGGAGGGAGCAGGAAAGTGAGGTTATGTGCGGACAGGGTCTGAGAGCTATTCGCTCTTTGGGGGGATACTGGAAGGGTGGGGGCAGGGCGGGGAGCTGGACAGGGACGAGTGGGGAGAGGGACACACAGATCTGTTGGAATCCCGGAGTGGCCCCTGCCCTTCTACCCATCCAACGCCCTCAACCCCGACACACACGCATGCACGCACACACATTGACACACGTCCTCACTCTCGCACACGCTGCTCTCGCAAGTTCACCCAGCTTCCCTGTGGTGGCCGAGCGCCCCCTAGTGACTACTGTGTGCACACCCTGGCTCTGGCTCAAGAAGGACCGGGTCTTGGAAAGAGGGTGGGGGGGTTGCTCTTGAACCCCCATTTCTGACCTCCCAAACAGTTGCATGTTTGGGACTGGAATGTGCAGAGAGCCTTGGGCTGGGGGCACGGGGGACAATGTGTCCATCTGGACAATGCCATTCTGGAACCCTCATTTGGCCTGCAGACATCAAAGTGAGCTGCAGCCAATAGGCTGGAGTGACTGGGGTCCCTGTCAAAAGGAATTTGGCGCCAAGTTTGTGGAGCTGAGAAAGGGAAGACGTGTAGTTCTGGGGTTATTCAGTGACCGAGAGGAAGGAGGACCTGTTGGAGCCCACGTATGCACTGTGGAGTCTGGCAGAACCCAAAGGGGGAGGCAGCTGGGCAGACAGAGGCCCTTGTTCCTGGGGCCCTCCCCCCCAGATGTTGCCAGGGAACTGAGGCCAGGGGGCTGGTGGGGGTGGATGGAGACCAGGGCCTGAGTGATGATTCAAACCTACCCACCAGCACTAAGGAAAGTCTGTAGGCCAGCTGCCCAGAGCTCCCACCAGGCTGGGGGCCAAGGCTTCTATCAGCCCCAGCCCAGGCTCATAGCTCATCTTCTGTACAGAATTGCGGGTCTCTCCTCAGTCCCCCGTTTCCCTCAGGATCCCTTGGCTACTTCTCCAGGCTTGCAGCTTCTCCCCGCTCCCCAAGTCCCTTCCCTTCCTGCAAAGCACCCCTTTCCTCCAACTCCCCATGTCTTCCCTAAGTGCTCCTCAAAGCCCCCCATCCCATCCCCCCCTTGTATATAGGAACCAGCCTGCAAAAATTCCTGGTTGGGCTGTGGCCCAGCTGTTCCCAGGCTCCCCCAGGGAACAAAGCGGGGCTCTGATACCTGTGGGAAGAGAGAGACCAATCAGTCTCATTAGCTGGCCAGATCTGGCCAGGGCATGGCCTGGTGCTGAGATAGCCTCTCTGAAGGCCTGGGCTGAGAATGGGAACCCAGAAATTTCCCCCAATTTGACCAAAACACGCCAAGAGGATTACTCAGCCAGCCCCCTGCCTCAGCACATAGTGCTGTCCAATTCCATCAGGGTGGTGTCCTGAGGCCCCTGTGAGGACAGGGGCTGGCTCCCACCAACCCCATCCCGCCCTTTCCATTTTCATGCTACCGTCCTCTCTCCACCACCTGGCAGGCTCCCCAGAAGCATGGACAAGGTCTTTTTACAGTTGGTGGATGTTTATTTGCTGGCTCAGAGCCCTCTTGCAGGCCTCCTCACCTGGGCTCCATGCTCCAAGCTGCTGAGTGGAATATGGAAGGGAAGTCACTAAACTTCCTCCTTGTATGCCTCTAGCACCCCAGGAGCACAGGCTGTGGAGACCTTGGCAAGGACCCCCTCCCTCACCCCTACCCTGAGGCAGGACAGAGGCTGCAGGCACCAAGGGTTCACTCTGGCCCCCTCCCCTGTATCCCTGTGCTTCTCAACCTTCTTCAGCCCCTAAAGAGACAATGAACCTGAAAACAATGTCTTAGTAAAAACCTTGAAGTTAGGAGGAAGCTGGAGGGGTTCCAAGAAGGGACAGCCATCAAATGTCACTGCATGGCCCCAGGCCTCCCCCAAGCCAACCATCCCACATGGTGGTACACAGCAAGGTATGTTATAATAACCTATTTGAGTTTCCCCCTGTGAGCTTTGCCCAGGGGAACGAAGGTACAGAATTCCCTTTCTGTAGGGCTAGGGTTGCAACCTGGCCCAAGGGGATTTTGAGCAACCTTCACTGGGGTAGGGATAGTCCCACCTCCACCCTTCATTTTGGAGATACAACCTGGTGGTAATGCAGGTTAGGGGTTTGACTCTGGATTCTGTCCCCCAGTGTGGTGCCACTAGTTTTTACAACTATACATTTCTTGGACCCAGCCAATGTCCATATTGTCAGCGAATTAAAAGTTCAAGTCACCCGGGTCTTCAAAGAAGGGAAAAAAGAAACAAGAAACAACAATAACAAGACCACATTGTGTCTCTATAGCACCTTCCCTTCCCATAGGCTTAATCCCCTTGAAAGAACTGATTCCCCTTATCCTTCCTCTTAAGGTCGATGCAGGGCAGGGGGTGTTAGAGCAGACTGTCTCCCCAGAGACTCCTCCACAGAACCAGAGAGGGCACATAGGGGTCCAACACCACCAGCAAATTGGCGGGGGGTGGAGCAGAGAGCAGCCCAGACAGGACCATGCTGGCTCCCAGTTGAGGGGCAACCTCAGCCCCACTTAGAGGGTCCCCTGATCCCCGGGACTGGAGTGGCTACAGCCTGTGGCTCTGATAGAAATTCAGAAGGAGCCAAGGAGGAAGAGGAAGGTGTTTCAGGTAGGGGGAAGGGGAGCAAAGGACAGGGTTGGGGTGGGGAAGAGTGTGAAAGGCAGCCAGAAGCCAGCAGAGGCCCCAAACAAAGGAAGTAGTGATCGGGCTCCGGGCACAATAGTTGTACTTTGTCCTGACATTCTGTCACCTCGCCTGTTGCCTCCAATGTTCAGGGAAGCTCTCACCTGTGTGGGTGAGGACGGTTAATCTGGAGGCCCATGGATGAAGGGGCAGAATGCCCCTGAGGAAGGAGCAGGGTGAAGAGAGAGTTGCTGGGTCTTGCTGTTGTCCACGCGCTTCTCCAAGTGGTTTCACTGTGATGGAGGGGAGTCTGCTCCTTCGCTCCGTCCCAAACCCCGGTCCCTAGCGGGGCTCTGATTCGCAGGAAGGGCAGGGATACAACCTTGTCGAATTGAAGGAGAGAATCGGGTTGGTTCCCTCAATTCCCTGTCTCTGGCTCTGGGTGTCAATCAATCTCTCTCTTTCTCTTTGCTCTCTCTGTCGCTAGGTGTTTCTCTAGTGCTAGGTCGTTGCATCAAAGCAACAAAAAGAGAGAGAAAGCAAGGAGGGCCTCTTTTTTCCAATGCCAACATCATAGCGCCAGGTGGATCTGGAGGTTTGACTCAGGGTTACGGTAGAGAATGATGGTCAATTGATAAAAAGATTGGGACAGAGAAAGCCAGGGAGGTTGACTCGTCCGGACAATCCAGTCAGGGAAAGGGAAGAGGAGCCGGCAGGAGAGAGGGCACGGCAGAGTCACTGTCTGGGGAAGCACACCTACCCTCGCCACCCCAGGCCCCATCAGCCATGTCTCTGCCTCTACTTTCTGGGCCCCAGTTTGATCCCCTAACACTCAGCTGTCTCCCAGCAGCCCCAGGCATGCCCACTTCCTGACACCCCAATCTTTGCTACCCCTCAAAGTCTGACCCCCATCATGCCCACTGCTGCCCTGTGCACATCCCTCACCCCAACCCAGTCTTGGAGGGAGTCCCTCTGCTGGGAAGAAGTGGTAGCAGCTAAGGTTTCAAAGTTATTTCTTGACCTGGGCCCTGCCTGAGAGCTGATCTTTGTTCCAGTTTGTGAATATTTTCCAAGATCTTCCAGGCACCAGGCTCTATGCTGATTTTACAGGAGATACAGGGACACCTAAGTAGGGGCTTTGGATCCAAATGGACCCTGATTGTACTCCTGGCTCTGCCACTCTTTAACTAGGTAGCCTTAGGCAGGTTACTCGGCCCCCCGAACCTCAGCTCCCCTCTTCTACAAAATAGGCAGAACACCTGCCTTGGAGAGTTGCTTAACGCAGAAAAATGTGCATACAGCTTTTGCCCTAGAAGGCAAGATGAGAAAGAGGCCCTGGGATTGGCACAAAGTGTTACGAAGGTTCAGAAGCAAAGCAGCCCAACTAGCTGGAATGGGCATCGGTAAGGGCTTCCTGCAGGAGGTGGCATGGGACATTTATTCTGCAAGCAATTATTTATTTTTTTTTATTTCTGCATATTATGGGGCTACAAATGTTTAGGTTACATATGTTGCCCTTGCCTCCCCTCCCCCCCAAGTCAGAGCTTCAAGCATGTCCATCCCCCAGATGGTGTGCCTCGCACTCATTATGTTTGTATATACCCATCCCCTCCTCCCCCCTCCCATCTGCCCAACGCCCGATAAATGTTATTCCTATATGTGCACTTAGGTGTTGATCAGTGAAACCAATTTGCTGGTGAGTACATGCGGTGCTCATTTTTCCATTCTTGGGATACTTCACTTAGTAGAATGGGTTCCAGCTCTATCCAGGAAAATACAAGGGGTGTTATATCACCATTGTTTCTTATAGTTGAATAGCACTCCATGGTATACATATACCACATTGTATTAATCCACCCATGTATTGATGGGCACTTGTGTTGTTTCCACATCTTTGCAATTGCGAATTGTGCTGCTATGAACATTCGAGTGCAGGTGTCTTTTTTATAGAATGTCTTTTGTTCTTTTGGGTAGATGCCCAGTAATGGGATTGCAGAATCAAAT